TTTCTGTTTCGTGATATATATATATATAAGATCTTATTTATAATTAATAAATGAAAAACTATCAGATGAATAACAATAATGTAGGGTATTAACATTTTAGATATTTTAAACATGACTTCTAATGATGATATTGATCCAAGAGAAGTACATAATTGCTCAGAAGTTAATGATTTAGAAGAACATGATGGTTATAATCATAATTTTGAAAATAATTGAGAATCTGACAAAAAAAGAATGAGCAAGAAAAAAAACGGTCAAGTCATGTCAGAAAATATTTATCGCCGCTAATAATGGACATCAGTGTCAAATTGTCTAACCAGAATAATTAAAACAAATCGGCGGATCAAACGAGTCAAACGAATCGTTCAAATGAGAAATCTAGATCAATGGCAAGCTGTCCAAAACTTAAGAAATGAAAATTTTCAATATCATTGCCTTTTAGAACCAAATCTATTCCAAATCTTGCTTCAGCCTTGTTTAAGAAAGCAATGAATACATCAAATGGTATGTTGATGACCATGGAGTCTCTATACCTTTTTGAAAAGCTTTAAAATTTTTCTTGGTCCATTTCTCGAGAATTGTTGTTATGATCTTGTAGTTTTAATCTAACCAAGTCTTTATCATATTGGACATATTGTAGTAATAATCTTTGAATAAATATCTATATATATATTGCTTTTAATGCTGATGAAGATTTCATTAACATCAACTGTCTCTAGCAAAACGGAAAGGAATAACACGCGAATCCTTCCAAAATTATCCAAAGCTCAATCAACGGGCTGGTGCAAGTTGACAAAATTCTTTATTAACAAGAGACAAGTAAAATAGAAGTTTCTCTATTAACATACCTGGATATTTCGACAAGTAATTCTGTACAGTGCTATTATTACTATTACTATGACTATGATTGAGGTTATCATGATATACTACACTACTACGAGCCGAACTAAGAGGTGATGACATTAAACTGCTAGCAGGACTACTAGTAAAAACATTATTATTTCCTAATATTGGACCTCCCGCTAAAGGTGGTGGTATCATCAAAGAATCAGCCCGGGGCCTTGTACTTGTACGTTTACTAACTCCTCCACGTGGATTAAATGGTAATGGTGGAGCTGATTGTAAATATGATTTGTCGAAACCAGCAAAATTTGATATCACAGATGTAGGCCTTGAGGAAGCAAAAGCCGAAGGTGGTGTTGTAGTTAGTGTAGCAGGTGTTGATGTTATTGATGATGCTGATGATAGTACATTATTGTAATTTTCATCGGGCGACATTTGAGCCGTTGAGAAAGGTATTAACTGTGAATTACGTATCTTCATTCGTTTTTCCCTTTCCCATTCTGCCCATTTCTTCATCACTATTCTCGAACTGTCAAATACACCTTCTTTACGTGAATGATCCTCACCAGAGACTTCACCCTCAACCACTCTCGTTTGTCCCCATGAGAAATCATCAAAATGCCAATATGCATAAACAGGTAAAACAAAATTCCATATCGGTAGCGAAAACAAATAAACCAACATCCATCCAACATAAATAAGTTTTCGTGTGGTGAGTAATATAAGCACGGCTGGCAAACCTAAAACAGCTGCTAAAAGTAATAGAGGTATCACTGGTACAGGACGTTTAACAAACGATATGATGACAAGATACACTGTGAATGTAATTGCAGCTGGCAACACCACTGTTCCCACCAATTCCATAAATATGACAAATTGCATAGAGAAACAAAATGTACCGCACAAATCTGGTATCAGCACAAGTTCCAACAAGTTATGAACTGTTGAATTGATCCATCTACGTCTTTGAGATCTCAGAACTTTAAATGTGTCTGGGACAATTGTTTTACAAATAGCTTGTGGCACAAACATCATTTTCCTTTTAGGAAAAGTTTTAAGCATCAGGGTTGTTAGGTAGCGATCTTCTCCAAGTAGTAAAAGATTTTTTTTGTGAAGTGTGTCAACTATATTTTCAGAATATTGTTCAACGATATCTGGATTTGCTAAAATTGGTACCCAGTATCCGTTTGGTCCTTTTGGTGCTTTGATACGATACATACAGAAACAACCGGGTAAACATGTAACACCACCAAATATTGATTCGAATGCTTTTTGCATATGATGATTAATATAATATTCAAAAACTATGAAACAATAAAAATGTTAATAAACATACATTTTATAATTATTAATATGATTTATTAATGGCATTATTTAATAATTTAGATGAATTACCTTGAATTGCAGTAACCCAGCTATCAGTTTTATTTGCAATTTTTGTTTCACCACAAAGTCCCATTACATTAGGATCTCTTGACATACAAGCAATCATACGAGTTAATGAATCAGGATAAATTTTAGTATCAGCATCAACCTATAAAATTAAAATTAAAAAATAAAAATAAATCGTTATTTAAAGCGCAAATATTAAAAAAAAATCTCCCTCTCCTTTTTTTTTTAATATTTACCATCAGAACAATTTCAAAGTAATCTGGTGTGACGCCACTAACATTACGAACTGCGTTAAAAAACTCATACTCAAGAGGTGTCATTCTTTCATCAAACATGACTTTTTGTAGAAAGCCCATTAAAATAATTTGAGAGTCTCTTTTTCCTCTATTACCAGGTTTCTTGTCGTCCTGTTCTTCTGGACCACCACACTTTACAACAGTTACCATTGGTATGCGTTTAGTTTTATTTTCCAAATCTTTATAACTATAGAAACCAGCGTAAACTCTTGCCATATTATGACGTTTTTTACCATCAGCAATAGCAACATAGGAGTGAGCTTGTACCAATTCTGGTAATATGAAGAAGTCATTCATCAATGATAAACAAATATCTGGAGTTGATTTATCGTTTCCTGATCCTTTTATTATACCATCAGCTATCACCATAATAAGCTTATGTGAAGAGGGATAGTCGGTATTAGCCAACGAGTCCAGAGTGGTTCTAAGGCCCTGTTCACCCTCAGAATAACAAGTGACCAATAATATAGTGTGTATAAGCGGGAAATTAAAACGTTGTTCAGGCTCTTGGGGTAATTGCTGGAAAGAAGAAGTCTGGGCAAGAGATGAAGTGGAAGATGACATGGAGTCAGTACGAGTGTGATTGTACTCGTTGATAGAAGAGCGACGACTTGTCCTTCCTGAATCCGTTTCTTTAAAGTGTCCTGTGTTAAAACTATTAGTTGTAGATAACGGTCTTACAAGGGAAGTAGTTGAACTGTTTTTATTAAAAATATTCTCACCGGACCCATTCCCATTCGGCAAATTGTACATCCTTGTGGAACGATTGTCTACTCTTCTGTTACGATCATAAGTTCCAGTACCTGGTGATTGAGTTGAATATCTTGATGTACTTAAAAATTTGAACGAATTTCTAAAAAAGAGAATAATTAATTAATTGATTTTGTAACTGATATGGTAATACAATACAACTCAACAAAACTATATATATATATACCTGTTGTTAGTGGCGGGAGAAGAGGGAGCAGGTGGTGGTTTAAAATGTACATTTTCATCTGACCATTTTTCAATATCTCGTTCACGCATAGCAAGTTCCTCTGCGGTTTCCTCACGAAAACTGCCCAATCTCCAACTTAATATCCAACCAAACAATACGGCCAAAGAAAATCTGACCAATACCACACCAACGATTACCATCAACGAAACATAAGTTACAACATCAGTGATCATACACCCTATTGAATTAAAATCTACAACACCAACTCTGATTGTCTCCTCTAAACATTTTGCTAATTGGATGCGATCCACATTTTGCTGCATGTAATAAGTTAGATCACGACCTCGATAATTGTCAATTTCGGTCACACTGATTTGCTTTAGTAACGGAATCATCTCAATGTTTGGAACCAAATATTTAAGTTTTCCCAAATCGAGCACATTACCATTATGAACAACAAAATTGCGATCACCTCTTTGTACATCATCCCAATCGAAAAATACGTCACCGACATAAATTAAAGCATTAATATCAGATTTTGAAACGTCGACATCATGACACCCAAAATTAATAGGATTATCAGTAGGCTTAAGATCCGAAAAATCATCAATTGCATCAGTTGCATTACAAGGGAAATAGTTTTGAAGTTTTCCATTTTTGGGTATTAGAATATTTTTACATTCGTTATTTAGAGTTTGAAATAAAAATGATATATCCTTTCCACCGGCCAAACCATTCAATAAATTCCCGCCCTTTTTCTCAGTGATATCAGGTAATTCAACAGGATGTGGATAGTCGGTTAGATCATAGATACTACCTAGTATGACAGCTTGTTGCAGACTGACACCGCCTACACGAACTCTTGGTGGAGGTATGCCACATAAAGCTTGAGTGAAACCAAAAGTCAAGAAACCCACGGCGGCACAAAGAATCAATATTATAGATACCAAAGCCATTTTTTCTCTCCAAGCTCTTTGAACCAATTTATCATGCATACCAAAACAAGATAATAGAGAAGGAGGAATACAACAAGTGACACAGTTGGTATATATTAACCAAGTGGAAAAGCATTGACATTTATACCACTTTCTTTTTTTAGGTGGTTCTCTCGTTGAAAGTCTTCTATTAAGTGGTCGACTCAAACGTCTCTCATCGCCACCGTCGCCATTACCACCAGCCCCGACACTGCCATTAGCAGTAATATTAAGAGCATTTGGAGGAAGGATACTCCATCTCTCAGTGGAATCATCGACAGCAAAATTTGTCACACCTCTACTTATTCTACGTTGATTTCTCCTTGCACGCTCAGGTCTTATAAGAGATTTTTGTCTACGAGGTCCTGATTCAGATTTCGGTATGTCTTGACCATTATTATTATTACCATAATTATTGGTATGGTTATTGGTATGGTTATGGCTGTAATTATTATTGTTATTGCTATGGTTGTAATGATTATTATTACTACTGTGTTTGCCGTAACAAATATTGCTATTGTTACGATAGTTTTCTTGATTATTGTTGTTGTTAGTACAACAGTTGTAATATCTACTTTCAATAAAATTGTTACCGCTAACATTATTATTACCACTATTACCACTACTAATGTTTCTACCACTACTGATGTTATCATAACTACAGCTGGTTTTGTTATTACAACCATTCTTTCCTCTTTGATTGCTCATTTTCTTGATGTAACCCGCAGGATCACAATCATAAGGGCAGGGTGGTAACTTGGTTCCACATTTGACCGGTGGATGAGATGTTATACCACCACATTTACTATTTTTTTTTTAAGAATTTTTTAATTATAATTAATTTTGAAATCACAAATGAGAAAAAATAATGTAAAATAATTTTTTGAAATAATTTACCATGTAAGTGCCTTTTTATAATAAATCTCTATAATATAATATTATAAAAATTATTACTAGTTAATAAAATAAATAAAAATAAACAATATAATTAAATTATAAAAAAGCTAGCAACTACCTTTACACTCGTACTATTATTGTTAAATCTCAATCTATTGGTTGCTGGACAACATACGACATTACACTAAATAAACATTAATGTAAATATTAACATTATTTTCCATCAATTCGCCATCAATTTGCCACCACCACCACCATCAATTATGCCACTACTAACCTTATGTGTACCACAACTTTTTAGATCTTGACATACTTTATTACATAAAAGAATCTGCCCACTGTTTTCATGCACCTCTGAGCACAGTCTATAAAATTCCGTTCTACCACATCTGCACTTGACTGGTATTCGTACCTTACAAACACATCCATCATCATGTGAGCAAATATCTTGACAATGATGACCGCACCTATATTATAAATGTAATCTTGTTAATAATCGACAAACTATTTTTTTTCTGAGCGAGTGGATGTTGATACTTACTTCAAAAGTGTGTTGCATGGATTCGTACAAGGTAGACAAGGTCCTGGGTGGCATTGCCTTTAAAATATGTAAATATATACATATAGAAATTAAAAAATTATGTTATTTATTTACGCGTGTAACTTAATTCAATGAACAACAATAGAAATTGCTCTGTTACCTTTTGCAAGTATATGTGCAATAATTATTATCGCATTTCTTACCACAAGGGTTACCACAACCATGTGGTGTTATGGTTTTCCTATTTGTTGTTGTGTTTGTGGGTTTTATTGGAGTTTTACCTTAAATAAAATAAAAAATTTTAAGAATAAAATAATTAAACAAAATTTCAAAATTTCAAAATTTGAAGATTTGATTATTCATGCATACCACAAAAACATTTGTAAGAGTTAGGAAATGCGTTTGTCGGTAAATCACATCCTGGACATCTCCAAAAAAGATCTCCGTGATTAGAAGTTTCCATAAGTTGACTTGTTGCCAACCTCTGAATACAATTGAGATGAAAGATCGTACAACAAAGATTACATGTCCAGGTTTTGTGATAAGGTTGGATGCGTTTATAGCAGACTTTACATTCGTATTGCCCAGTTTTTAAACTATCAATTAAAGTTGCAACATAATTGTTGATTTCACTAGCCGTATATTTATTCAATGGGAATTTTTTAAATAGTTTTTTCCTGTTTATGTTATTTTGTCTGGTGAAATCTATTATAGTAGAAATTTTTGACACACCAATAATGTTGTTGTAATTACCAGAATTTAACTCAACATCACCACGCTTATTGTTACTTCCACTATTTCCAGATGTGTTTTCACCTTCGGTTCTATTAGTTCCATTATAATCATCATCATAAACTTCTTCTTGCTCATCGTCATCATCATCGTCACCATCATTATCATAATAATCGTCGTCGGAATCATCATCGTCAAGTTCAATGATGTATTGCGGATTTTTGATATGTGTTACATGTGTCAAAGTATTGCAGCGATAGAATCCACCCAAACTCCTGTTGTTATTACGATTAACAGCATTGTTGACATTATAATTCGTAGCGTTTGCAGCTATATTACTATTATTATTGCTATCGATGGTATTGTTGTATTGAGAGGTATATGTTAATTGTCCAGCATTTTGATAATTTCCCGATAAAGAAGTGAAATGATTATATTTATAATGTTTATTATTATTATAATAATTACTTTTATTCTTACTGTTATTATTGTAATTGTAATTATTATTATTATTATTATTTACATTGTTGCAATTATTAGTAATAAAATAATGTTGTTGTTGTTGTTTTTGTTTTTGTTGACAGTTATTAACTGTTGTTGAAGACATTTTTTAACTGTTTGTTTAATAATTAATGACGATCTGCGAATTTAATCGGAGTCACATATATAGTGATCTGCGAACAATAGTGACTAATCAAGCAAGCACATTTAGTCGTACCATATTTTTTGTTTCACCACATGATGCATGCATGCATGACATAATGTAGTAAAAATTTTAGAGAGCATTTTCTTTTACTATTACTTAAGAAAGAAAGGGCTTCTTGTATATGACACATTTGGAGGTGGATGGTTTAACGAACATCAGATTTATAAAAATATGTATTAATTCGTTAAACATACATTAATTACATATGATAAAAACATTGAGGGTTTCATCAATTTCTTATTTATAAAAAATAAAAAATAATAGTTTTTCTTTGTATCAATTAATAACAAGAACAATAATAAATAATTTTACTTTACATTAAAATTAAGGTTCCATTTCCCTTGACCAAATATAGATGGATACCCACGACTTATTTTTGTTGGTGATAAGGATCATTACCAGTTTCTGATTAATAATGAAGGCTAATTTCCAAAGGCATATTAATTCTCCATTATTGTTGTGATTTCATCAATGGCCCTTTTAATTTGGTCGAATGAATTTCTGGAGTGAATCAAGTAATATCTTTATATTTGTTATCAATATCAAATGATTTGAAAATAATAATAATAATAATAATTATTATTATTTTAATTTTGAAAAAAAAAATTTTTTATTTATTTATTTTCGTTTGTCAATCAAACATTCTATATTAATAAAAAGATCGACATTTCAAATATGAAGGAAGATCAAAATTATTGGTTAATTGTTATTGAATTAATTGATGTTTCTTCTACTAATATTATGTGTGTGCGCTCTAAAGAATTATTATGAGCAGAGAGGTTTTACAAAATCTTTAAATAAATAATTATATATATATATATATATACAAACACACACACACACACACATATATAATTTTATTTATAAAATTTTTTTTTCTTTTATTTTTTTTGAGACTGATTACAAACAAAATTTTAACTAATCTAAACTAAAAAGAGAATATTAATTGATTTCTTTATGTTTTATGAAAACATAAAAAAATAAAAAAATAAATAAAAACCTAAACCTATCTTAATAATATTTGGTATACTTCATAATCATCCAGTAATTGAATTAAATCAGTATTTTTAAGATTTAGTTTATTTGCATAAACATCATTATAAAAATAATAATAACAATATAATTGATTCTTGACACTGCTGTATAATCGCAAATCATCAAAATCTACAAACAACTCATTAAATTGTTTCTTCTCAAGTTCTATGTTGAACGGTGTACCATTATGAAATATTGCAGACTTTGCAATTTTTACTCGACTTATTATCGAATTTTTTATTTGATTTGTGTCAATACTAAATATGAAGCTCTCATCTGTCTCAACAGCATAATCATCATTCAAAAATCTATTTGGCTTATCCCAACAAACCGGATTGTAGCCACCAATCAGATCACCAGTCTCCCTAATTTTCATTACAATCACTGTATGAACAATATGATTACATAAACTATCAAAAATTGATTTAGAAAATCCATCACGTGAACCACGAAGAATCAGCTTGAATTCGTAAGGTATGTTATTTTGATTATATACATTTTCCTTGCGATTGTCAATCCAACTTGATAAAAGACATTCAGATTCTAATCCTAATAAATATTTTGATCGCGGTCCTTTTAGATGCAATAATCTTGGTTGCCAACACTTACTTCCCGAATAAAAATCAAGTATCTCATCATAAAAATTCTTATCAATAATCCTCCTAAATGGCGTAACGATATTCTTGTGAAATTCATCAACGCTGATTTGACAAAATCTTATCAATGGTATGATATCATCCAGTGTATATTTTAACTTGAAAAAATCATTATCACTCCACTCAGATATGTCCTTGTCCAAAAAATCGATATTTTGAGTTATTCCCCATTGAACAACATAATTCCAAATAACTATTTCCTTCAATTCTAAATTGTCTCGTTGTAGTAACAGCATGAGCATCGACTTATCAATAATTGTAAAATCATCTGATTGAAAAAATAATTCTGGACTGTGCGAGAGTAAATTATTGCAATAATTCTGGAATATGATAAATGATTCATGTTGTATTGATATTTTGTGAAGATAATTTAAATTTTGTAAAATCCATTTTTCATTATGTTTAATAAAATATTCTTGCAAATCTTCCAATAACTCATTGAAACATAACTCATCACAAGCTTCAATTATTTCAATTATTTCATTTGGATCAAGATTATTAATATTAATAATTCCACTATATATATATCTGGAATGAAGAAATAGAAAATAATTAATAGTGAATATTATATATAAAATTATTAATAGATTTATAATTTATATTATCACAGTTTTTGATCATGGTCGACTTACTCTAAAATGATTCCAAATATTTTTGGGGAGACATTGCTTTTTTCGAAAATAATAATACCATTATCCATTCTTTTGATCCAATTGTTTGACAAAGCCACATTGAAATATGACGATCTTGATTTCAGGATGGCCGAGTGTGCTTTAAACGTTTCAAGATCTTGTTGATTTAGTCCTACTTTAATTTCCACATCATAGAAGTTTGGTTCATTTAAAAGTTTTGAAAAATCATTTAATAGTTTGCTAATATATTTCAACGGTGATGCGTCAATATTAGATGAAACTATATTATCAAGCAATTTAGTAATATTTTCAAGTGCTGAAAACATTTTTATTGTGTGTATATATATAGATTTACTATTTTGTGTGTATAGTAATTCTTTTTTTTTTATTTATTTTAGGGGCGTGATTATTGAAAAAGAGAAATTTAATTTTAGCAAGTTTGTATCACGATTTTTTATTACACAGAATTAGAATGGGTGATATCATTTTTTATCCTCCTGTGACTATATAGTAGTGCGGGTGCTATGTGAAGATCAACATCCTTAAATGGCTAAAATTCAACTCGAAAAATTCCCTTCCATTGATAAAATACTAAATATAGTTATATAGAGAGATAAATAATAATAAATAAATTCATTATGGTGTGATTTACTTGATCATTACTATGGTCAATGCAAACATTTACAAAAATTAACGGTCAATTATACATGTATATTTTTTTGGACAAACTATTTAAAGCGGATGAGCATTGATTATGGGAACCTTTAGTGGGATTATAACCATCCCAAAGTATGGTATGATTGGTTTGCATTTTCGTTGTACTTTGAGTTATGACGAGTTTACACTTGTGTCGTACTTTTAGGCTAGAAGAATTCATGTTTGTTTTTTTTTCATTCGAATCCGCATAAGTTGATTTACCCATTTACTTCATTATTACGCCACATCTGTAGGATTAATATTAATATATTTTTAGGCATCATATATGGGTATCAACCAAGTATAGGGCATTCGTCAAAATAAAATGCCAATAAATGAGACTTCATATATATGCAAAGTGTTGGTTGACACGATTATTCAATATAGCTATGAGCGAGATACCTATAAAATGCAAAGCTTGGAGTTCATGGTTATTGTTTCTTTTTTTTATTGATTAAGCTTTAAGGGTAGAGTTTGGTTGCACAGTATATCATATAGCAAAAATTTAACAAATTGTTTGTACATACAAAAGTCCATGTGACTTCGCACGAAAATCCTTGAGAATGTGTGGGCTATTTAAATAATATTAATGAGTTAAGTTAAATAAGTAGTTTGAGATTCAAGATCAGTTGCCAATCCTATCAGTGAAGTTATTAATCCTTAAAATGCACTATACACATCTAAACTCGATAAGTCGGACGCAGCAATCAATTGTTTAAAGTACTTTATAATATAAATAAATGTCCGACTTATCGAGTTTAGATGTGTATGCGATTGTTAAATTAGGCAATATTAAACAAATTAACTTATTATTATTTTTTATAATAATAGAAACATCTAAATTTTAATGAACATTTATATTCTCCAACACCAGCTATAGTAATAACATCAGGAAATTTCTTTAGGAAATAAACATTGGGATAAATCATTTATCGATATTTATCTCAATAAAAAAATCGAAATTAACGAAATAAGATAATTAATTATCTTACGATATTTAACATCATCGAAATTAATTACCAAGATAAAGATAATATATGAAATTAATCACCAAGATAATTAACAACAAAGATTATATACGAAATTAAATCACTAAGATCATTAACGATAGAGATTATATACGAAATTGAATAGATTGCTTGCTTATTTCCTTCATGTCTGTTAGATTCTTGTTATGGTGTAATTATGTACTTTTTGTTTGGCTCCTTCAGCCACTAGAATTTGCACTTGTACTAGCCGCACTCATAGCACTTAGATCTTCAAGTATTTTATTGCTGATTCTCTTAACGGTTTTCCTTCTAGGGCTATTAAAATTATTTTATTTTATTCTTTGTAAATTTTGTTATCTCATCTCTCGATTTTCAATTCAATCATGGTGTTCTACTATGCTTAAAATTCTTTCTTGTTATTTAATCACAGTTATTCTTTATCAGCATTTTATATTTCCTAATTAATTGTAATTTATTTTTTTGAATTATTATTTTCCGAAGACTCATTCTATTTGAATTGAACAAGTTTATCTAGTCTTCTGGTTCGTTTGTGCTTTGTTTATATTTTATTTTGCTAATCATAATGATTTTGGAA